CTGCGCTTATTGTTCCCGCCTTTTTCCGACGAAGAGTGGCCCAAGTCAATATCGCCGGCACGCACACCCCACCCAGCATAATGCAGATAAGCTTAGCCGTGTGAAGTATTCCGGTACCCGCTGGTCCCAACAAGAGTTACAATCGCTCTTGCGCCTAGATAAAAATTTATATCCATCTTGTGGCACGCAAACCGCACTGTTCACGGGACTGAAGCAGTATTTTCCTGGTCGATCAGCTATCAGCATCAAAACCAGGTTACGGGTGCTTAACTGGCAAGCACAACAGGACGAATCAGCATCTGATGGAACTAACCAGACTATCGGCCAAATGGCGGTATACTCGTCAGAAGCCGATGACTACGGTTCAAACAAACCGTAGATTGCGCCGTGTCACTCTTGCAATCCCACGCTAACAGGTCGCTTGCTAGTGTTGACCTTCTGGCACGTGAGCGAGGGTTGTAGTCTTGGCATCATGACACCGGAACAAGTCCTGTCGCTTCTGGACCTCCACGCCTCCAGGACATATCCATACACCTGGAAAACTGTATCCCGATGCCGCCGTCAGTTACCCCATCGGGTCCCGGTCAACCGAAAGCAGATCCGCCGAGCCATCTACGCTGCCATCCAAACCCTATACCACCAAAGACGGAACGATTCAGCGTCTGCTGTGCTCGATGGGTCATGAAAGGATTTATACAAAAGTAACTGCGGCCTACCTATGGATTTCGAGCAGTATTGGAAACAGGTGCTCTCAGCTCCAAAGCACGTGGATAACCGACCAAGTCGCATAGTAGTACCACCCGAATGAAACTTGACCGATCCAATTACAGGAGAGGAAGTCGGCCGTACGATCCGTTCAATGGGCAATTCGTCCTCAGGCCTCGACAAGCTCACGCCCAGGATACTCTGCCGGTTCACTGCTAACATGATTACTTGGTATTTCAACCTACTGGTATTATCTGGGGGTTGTCCCCCAAATCTGTGTCGTGCCCGTATTACCCTAGTTCCGAAGTTCCCGAATACGACATCACCGGATCATTTGTGACCGATCTCCGTGTCATCCATTCTTGTTCGTTGCTTCCATAAGGTGCTTGCTGATCTTTGGAGTCGTAGATTGCAATAGTCCTCACTTACGTTTGCAGTTTTGCATCGAGACGGCTGTTTGGAAGTCACATCGCCGTTGCATGCAATGCTTCGTCACTCTTCAACAACTGCTTCTAACCTCAGCTGGCGTTCGTTTTCGTTGCTTCCATAAGGTGCTTGCTGATCTTTGGAGTCGTAGATTGCAATAGTCCTCACTTACGTTTGCAGTTTTGCATCGAGACGGCTGTTTGGAAGTCACATCGCCGTTGCATGCAATGCTTCGTCACTCTTCAACAACTGCTTCTAACCTCAGCTTGGCGTTCGTTGATATCTCGAAAGCGTTCGATTCGGTTTCGCATGACACAATCGTCATATATGTCGAGGCGTTTGGAGCACCGTCACTTCTAGCTTGAGAATGTCGTAGCAGTTTTCCCCGCTTCCGAGGTTCACTGCCACAGAGGTGTGAGGCGAGGGGATCCACTCTCCCTATTCATTATGGCAGTGGATTAGGTTCTTGGATTATCGATGCCGCAACTGATATTCCAGTTTCATGACACCTTAGTTGATGGTTTTGCCTTCGCTGACGACTGAGTCGTGTGAGCAGAAAGTCAGGCACGCCCTAAAGAGGTGCTTGAAGCTGCTGCGGTCGAGTTGAGAAGAGCTGGTATGAAAATAAACCCCCGGAAGACGAAAGTGATGGCTATTTGTGGGGACAGGAAACATCGGGCAACAGCAGTTTTGGTCGAACCATTTTGCTTCGCCAAGGAACTAATAACTCCTCTGGGTCCGACAGACACCGTAACATATTTGGGCATTACATTTACTCCCAAGGGGAAGGGGGTCTTCAACCACCGACAGCACCTGCTCAAACTACTCGAAGAGGTGACGCGTGCCCTGTTGAAGCTGTACCAAAGAATGGAGATCACGAGGAACTACCTGATATCGAGGCTGACATATTTGCCCGTGGTTGGCCAAGTTGACCGAAACATGCTCAAAAGATTGGACAAATACCTAAGGCAATATCTTCGTGGCTGGCTACGTCTACCGAAGGACACACCGATCAGCTACATACATGCTGGTAAAAAACATGGGAGACTTGGTAACTCAAGTCTGAGTGCAACAATCCCGACGCAGCGGAAAACGCGTATGGAGAAGCTCCTTTCTACTCAGTGCCGAGTACTACGCAATGCGGTCAACGACTCCGCATTTAGCAAAATTGTTCGGGATCTCGGCCTCCCGATCCGAGTCCATGATGCATGCGTAAACACCAAGCAAGAGCTGGTGGCTGCTTGGGGTGATGGTCTGCACAACAACGTTGACGGTCGTGGTTTACGAGAATCGGTCGCTTTGCCTCTCTCGACTCGATTGCTCGTATTTCCAAAACGAGTGTTTCCACGGATATTTATCCGCGGTATCCACCTCCGATGCAACCTGCTCAGGACAAGAGTTAGAAGCGCTCGGCATGGTCATGGTGGCCAGACAATCTTACGTCGTGGAAACTGTGGCCAACCGGAGAGTTTGGTGCATATTTTGCAATCCTGCTAGATCACACATGATGCCAGATGTACTCGTCATAATCGGGTTGCAAGGGAACTTGCAAAACTTATCCGTCGACTGGGATACACCGTCTTTGAGGAATTGAGAGCATATATTTCGACGTCCTTCATCAAACTCGACCTAATCGCTGTTCGAGATCACCGTGCAACTGTAACAAACGTCAGCATAGTCTCGAATGGGCGTGGGGTGACTGTGTAGAATGAGAAGCAGAAATATTGTGCTGATGAATATTCCCTCGCCATAATCTCAGCCCTACATACCATCGGTTGTGATGTCGAGTTTTTGGTTCACCAACCGATGGTCATCTCTTATCGAGGGATCTGCTTTCCTCATTCCGCTAAGACTGTTATTGGACTGGGACTTCCTAAGGTCGCAGTCAGTGACTTGTGTTTGCTTGCCATTTTGGGCTCTCTGTATACTTATGACACTTTTATGCGTGGCATATGGCGTTGAATGTACATTTTTGCCATTTGATCTCACATCAGACCCAGTATGACGGACACTTTGCGCCCGATTTGCGAGTCTTCACTGAGTTAGCGTCTACCGCGCCTTGAAGAGCATTCAACATTTTTTTCTCCTTTCTTCGGTTGTTGGTCTTTAGAAGCGTGTTTCCAAATCAAAATTTTTACATACCTTGAGATTCATCTCATATGACTGAAACTGTTGTTGGCATGAATCCGAATGAGACGTTTCTCTCTTCTCTCCCATATTCTCCTGTTACCCTTTCGCATTCGTCGCTTGCATTCACTTTTAATGTTTGTGACTATGCTCTTCAAAAATGAATGATGATATTAACATAGGCGCAGCTAACTGGCAAAATTGTGTATTTTAACATTCAAAAGAACAGAAAAGACGGTAATATATGTGTGGTTTACCAGATTGAATTAAACCGCGGTGATTTGGCCACGTTTAACATAATGGGACACGAAATGCGTTGAGGGGATTCTGGTGAAAGTAGGACAACGTTCCTATGAGATTATATTCACAAAAGCCAACTGCTCTGGGGAAGATGTTTCCAGTTGTGGCACTTTTAAAGAATTTTTTCTTGCAATCAACTGCAACTGGTGTAAGGGTAAACTGACTGGGTCGTAGTTGAGTCGTGGTTGAGTATGGGTAAGTGACACCTCTAAAAAACATCTACTGGTCTAGTATATATATATATATATATATATATATATATATATTGCTTTGCTAACATGTCTGTATTGATGCTTGTGTTCATTAGTGAGTTTGCTCACTGGTGTGGTATTAATATTTCTCTTGATGATACGAAAGGGACACAGTAAGCCCTTGTGGTTAAGTGTCCACGAAATGTATTGGATGCCCATGTAGATGTGCCAAACAGACTCCATTGGCGTTCCATCATCCAGTTTTGTTGCTGATCCAGTTGTGCAACACTTTGAAGATGGAGTTGGTCAAGTTTCGAATTATAAAATTGCTTGTGGCTGTCACATGACAACTGATGTTTCTGCAGGTTCTGTCGACAGTTTGTTGTTGCAGAAATGCCCAGTCATTGAGTTGTATAGACTATCAAGATTCATGTAAGTTTTTTTATTCCTGATGTGATGTTTTATGCGGTTTTGCCGAAATGTTTGCACCAAAAGTTAAAAAAAAGTTAAAAAAAACAGTGATACAGTTAGTGGAGCTCGATAGACGAAAATGCCTATCACCGGTTTCTTGTTTGTTAGCATTAGACAAGGGGTTGATAGAGCGTTCGAGTTCTTAAAAGGCGTAGACCTTCTAAAGTGGTCTCACTGTAAAGTGAAGCCGGTCATAAAAAGAATCCGAACCTCAGAGCGACAACATGTAGCAAATAGCCATGTAGTCAAGACACACTCATCCGCTGCAATACCAAAGACTAAACAAAGTCATATGGACTTTGAGAAAGTCAGTCATGTTACAGTTCAAGCTGTTTGAGAAATAAATCGTGACGTTTAAGTTAGTTGACCATCTTCTTAATATTTCAACAACAGTCTTCGTTCTTAAGGTTTTGTATGACCCTGGTTTTAATCAAAGCAGTGAGGCATGCTCAATCAGTTGAATAGCATAGGATGTTTGAATTACTGGTGCACGCAGTGGTGTAGCAAGAGTCCGTTGGCGTCGTAATAATACCCGAATTTGAAGTATCCGGCTTGATTCGAAGCGGCTTTTTGCTTGCTTCTTCCAAACAACACCATAAAAACAAAGCAAGCGCCTATTGAAAGCCGCATAGATGGTTTATTGCGCGCGGGGGGGGGCATATCTGGAATCTCGGAACAGACAACATAAAAAACATGGAAAGATGAATAGGGGCTAAAAGAGCATTCACGTTGGAGGAATCAAAAGTGAAAATAATTGAGACCAAGGCAAATACGATCTACCTTCTGCTCAACTAGCTGTGGTGTTAGTTTCCCGTTTTCCTTAGGACGCGCACGGACGTTGGTCTTTTGAAAATGTTCGGTCTGCTTGGACTTATCATTAGGTAGCTTCTTGTCTGGCTTCTCAGTGATGTCCGGATGACGATCACCATGATCTGCTTCAATAGCAGAAGCCTCGAGTTTACCTTGTTTTTGATCGGAGGTGTTGATTTCCTGCTGCTTTGTTCGCCCCTTCTTGTGTAATTGCCTTGCATCTCCACGTTGCGTGCGAGCGACGCAATCTTCATTGTCCAACTGGACATAGCATTAAAAAACTTGACTTACTCCTTTGTTAACTATACTGGCAAGCAAGTAAAGCATTTCATTGGTTTTCTCCGGTTCTTTTCCCGCGATTACGCTCATGATACGCACAGGTATCACATAACCGTGGGCGATTGATAAATAATCCACAAGCTTCTGAAGAAAAGCCAGCTTGGAATCTTTATCTTTTACATTGTCAGCGTTCAATTCTTCTGAACTAAACAGACCTTTCATCAGACCAGTTGTCCTAATAAACTAATTTTTCACTAATCGACAACCACGTTTAGGCCTACCGTCGTGCAAATATCATGTAAAAACCGGAAAGGAGGCCTTGAGAGAAGTTTGTCCGTCAATACTGGCTTCTTTATGATTTTTCCCAGAGTGTCTTGTGTACGTTTTATTATCTTAGGGTCAACATCCATAAGGACGCGAAATATTGGATGTACGCATCTCAACAGGGTTTAATCAGTGATGCAGTAAAAAAAAGTCTAGTTCAACGAACTCAAGCCCTCATAATAGGTTTTCACGGATTCACGGATTGATACACAGGATCGAGGTTTTTACCCAAGTTTTCCGGGTCGGTTTCATTCTTGTCGGTCAGCGGCTGTCGTTCACTTGAAAGGTATAAGTGAAAAAAGGATGTGGTACTGCTCTTTATGTAGTAGTAGTATGCTTGCCAGCGGGTTACGTGGGTAAAATTAGGTGAAATTGAGTGTGCGTAAGTGGAACGCCGGAGGCTATCAGACTCGGGCTGATACTTAGTTGAGGTTGGTTAAACCTCTGAAGCCGTTAATCAATACTACTTTTGAACCAGGTTTTCATTTAACGGTTCCGAGTTTGTTTCAGGTTGTCAAAGCACAAGGCGTAAATCACATTTTAACAACTTATCAGAATTCCAGCCGTAACGAGTGACGAGAAATCCTCTCAGCAGTACCTTAGGGAGTTCGATTAACTTTTGTTGCGGCAGGGAATCTAGCTGGCTAACTGTCTGCGTCTGAAGCAGTTGTCGATGAAGATTTAAAATCGTTACCAGGCCCCGTCGTTTGTGTGATGTGAGTTTGTGCAGGAAAACACAGTACCTCCGGAACATGTCTTTGCTTGGAGACAATGAATAAGAATTTTCAACGCGACTAATAGCTCCCTTGTTCGGGCGTTATCGCAGCTCCGCTTAAAAGTGTCTCCTCATTCTGGATGCCGCTCGGGTGATACATCCATTTATTTCGTCTGATCAGTGTTCCTTAGTTTTGTTGCATGATGAGCAGCCTATCTTAGCGAAACCTGAATTCAGCAAGTTAAGGAACTCATGGCTCCACGAATAGAATAGCCTCATGAATTTCCACATCGCGTTGGGCACATTTATTCTCGCTCACGAAATATGTTATTATATTCAACAGTTTTTATTTGTGAGTACTCTCACTTTTTCTGCTACCAGCACCACTTGAACAGTCGCTCCCCCAATTCTGCAGTTATCGTTACCTTGCAGGCAGGCCATACAAATATTTCCGGATTTCCCAATTATGAAGGACATTTCAATTTCTGAAAACCGACCTGCCAGCCTACTAGTCTTACGGCTGACGCTTGTCCTTTCTGACGCCCATATTCCTCTGTAGCTTCTTGTCACTCGAAAACATCAAAAACTTGAACTGGGTCGATCAAACGACTAGCCCGTGTGTATTGTAATCATTGGAAATATGCACACTAGCCGATCGTCTCAATTCCGAGTCGGAATACTTTACCCACATCTACTGACTGGGTTGTCATTCACTAGCACAAAAGCCCACTGCCAAATTTTACCCAGCGCTGAGTGTTCCCTGCCAGGTCAAAAGCTTTGTTGGAGTCAGAATGAGTTTTGAAACGCTTCTACCTTTCACATCAAGGTTCGAGTGACATCCACAGGTCTACGGTGGAGAACGGCTTGTGAGGCCGATGAGATGAAATAGTACGTGCATTCAAGAGGTACACGTCTGGAACATGAATTCAAGAAGCATACATCCGGAACATCGTCGTTGCGTTATTTGTACTCGATATTAGGTCACTGTACTCAGAATAAACGCCGCCAATTGTTTCGCAATTGATATTACCCGTTCCCTATCGTTGGTGGAGACTTTAATGATTAAGTTTGTTATTTCCCGGAAGCCGACATTGTCTCTACCCCGCGATCAATGTATGCACAGGCCAATTTTGGTTACCATATTCATCATCAATATGTCCAACTAGTCACCATTTACTTACTTTTTTATAACATCGCGAAACGGACTGGATTTTACATCATCCGGTTTTTGTAAGGAAATCAAACAAAAACCGTAACCTTTTTGGAAATCCCGGTCCTTATCGGGCAGCTAAATTTTTCGCGAAACCCCAATGTGAAGAATAAAAAGCTTTGCATAGAAATGTTGCTTTTTCTGGCTGCATGCTCAAAACAGGAACCACTGCGTCTTAATTTTATTAATATTTTTTTGGCTAATCTCCAGTGGTACTTTGCACAACAGTGTTGCTTTAGACGGATTCAGGTATGCTCCTCGAGAGTTTGGTCGGTCCCTGGTGTCCATTATTTACGGTATTTGAGGTAATAAATGGTCACAGGAAGGATAATGATGTATTTATGCGTGAAGGGGGTTTTACAGGATTCGTATTCGTCACCAGTGGGTGCAACCTAAATGTAGCAGGCAGCCAGCGAAACCAGGAAGGTTCACGAGTCCGAAAAGGATAGTAGGTCTAGCGCATTTGCTACTCTGAAACACTGCGCGAAGCCCCGGTTGGCCAGTACGTTTCTGTAAAAGGGGACACGGAAACCATCCCCTAACCACGTCCTACTACACCGAACGCACTAAGTAGGCCTCAGATTATTTGTGCGACCGACTTCCGGTGAATCGCCGGATAGCCGAAGGGTCGAGCGCCCACAGTGCTTCAAGAAAGTAAGAGAAACAGTTGTGTAAATAGCAGCAGATTTGTGCCGACGAATTTGAGCAGGGCTTTACCACTTATGGCAGATGCAATCAACGTGTAAGGTGCGCAACGCGTTGATGAATAAGTGACGCGTTTTACTGTGTCAGATGATATGCATTCCTCGTGAAATCGGATGGTTGTCCACGCTGCAGTCGGTGGAGGGAAATTACAGATAAAAGTTTTGCCAGCTGATAGCAGGTAGCACTTTTCCGATGTTTCTCAGATTTGTAAATTGTCGATAGTTCAGACACTGCCAACCTATTCGGGTGAGGCTTTTTAACGCAGGGGATAGATAAAGCCCTGCACGCCCTTGATCATAGGTTGCACGGGTACTGATCATCCAATTTGTTGTGCTTCTGGAGGGCGGATAGTTTGCTCCTGTGCTTAAAGTGTTTGGATGTTAATGGACACGAGTTGTGAAGAAGAGTGAACAAGTTTGCCTGGTTCAAGGCGATGAAACGGGAAGGCATTTACCATCGCTTCAGGGAGAACAGCGTGTCTTACGCGAAAATGTGTGATGCATGCTTGGTGGTGGTCTGTCGAATGACTTCGTCTGCCAGTTCCCTCATTTCGAGGCACTTGAAGCTAAGACCCTCAAGGTTGTGCTACTATCGTGTTGGAACTAACAGGTTGAGGTAGGCCAGTGTCAACTAATTTAAGGTCCATTTGCAAACCTCTTGTCGCTGCCAGGCGGTTGAAATCTATAAAATCTCTAATCACACAACTTGTAGGGAGCGTACCAACTGAGTCATGCCCAGCCGTCACAACATGAACATAGCGAACAACCACAAAACGGGGGAGAGGTGGGATCAATGAGAGAGGCTTATCACGCGATAAATGATCGCAGATTATGGAAAACAAAAGAACGAAACAATGGTGCATGAGGTACGCGTGGTTCGATGATGGAACTGTTTAACTTATACTGAAGCTGAACAGCCGTTGCTGGCCGTTAGCGATATTGAGCGATTGAGCAATATGTAAGGGTTACGGAAAGCGCAATTAAAGATGATGAGATGAAGATATTCAAAGTTGCGACAAACGGCAAAATTCTTCCCAAACATATGGTTTAACTTTAAACAATGTTGATCCACTGGTATCATTCTCGAGCGGAGGTCGGCGTAGAAGTTAGGGACATATCAGGGACATACCACATATCCTTGAATGACCCCAATATTGATCGTAAGCAGATGTACTTTCTGTCTACAAATTGCGTTATTTGAGTCCTGTCAGATAAGAGGCAAGCCACCAAAATACGGTTTCAGTTATACCAATAGTACTGAGTTTATATAGCAGGGATGCACGAGGGACCTGATCAAACCCATTTTGGATATCAAAATAAAATAAAATCGCGGAGTGCCCTTCGTTGTGGGCTGCGGTGATGGTTTCAAGGAATTGAGGCTAGAAGCCACTTGTGGATCTTTGAGGCAGTAATTTGAATTACCGGTTACCTCCGCTAGTTGTAGCAGATAGCAGCGCGGTATAATGCCTCTCACCGGAAGTTCGACGGTTCGCAATAAAAACGAGAACGTTGGGACCATTGTATTGGACGTGGTTTGTCTGAATCCAGATTCGCAACGCCGGAGGAATATGGATTGCTTTTACTACGAGGAAGCGACTTCAGAGTTTATCGAGTGGCTAAAAGAATAAGGACAAGGATTTCGATAACTTGATAATTTTTTGCTAGATGGCGGGCTTGAAACCCATCGGCCTTTGACGAAGGAGCCCAATTATTGATTGGAAGGAGCCCATAAAAACCAGCTTGGAAGATCAGTAATTTGCTAACAGACGGGCGAATACCCCCAGCGTTAGGAGCTATGGAATATATGGCAAATACCGTGAGTTTGATTATGGTAGAAGCGGGCAAGCAGTAGCTATTGAAGTAAGTATTCAGGTGGTCCGCTACACTGACAATGCTGGTGGTGGGACAAACCTCCGTAAAACGTAAACTAATATCTGAAAGAGTTTTTAGGACCAGACACCACGGAACAGCTGGCTCGGAAGTTTAGAGTAGGAAGAGTATCTGAGGGGGTGCTCTCCTCAAGACGATCAAGAATTACCCGCAAAGACGCTCATTTAATTGACAGCCTAATCATTGAAACTTATAATGAAAAATCAAGCGATTCACTATGTTATCTTCTGGGTCAGTATATGTTGATATGCAAAGTTCTTAATAACTTATTGACGCGAGGGATACCAGGGTGGAAGTTTTTTGGAGAAATGAAGTGAACAGCAACCAATTGGTTGTGGTAATAATTGGTAATATGCGTATTTCGCAACATACCGGTTAAGGCGTGATTGGGT